CGCACTTAACCGCTAAGCCACAGGGCCGGCCCGGCATGGGTATGTTTTAATGAATAATTTTACTTCTGTAATTAAAGAAAATGATGGTAGCAATATTACCTTTTAAAGAATTTTTAAGCATCAATTGTGAAATGAAAAGCCTTAGAAAAAAGTCCTCTTCCAGTGTGAAAAGTCCAAATGTTTATTTGTACTATGGTTGTTATTCTAAAGGGCTAATTTTTTACACATTTTGAGGCAGTAATTAAGCTGCATAAACAGCACTCTGAGACCATGTGCCACATCCTGGAGGACACTTGCTGACCGGCAGCCCTGGGGTGGGGTGGGGTGAGGGGGAGGGTCTTGTCAGGCTCCCAAGGCACCTCTTCCAGCCAGCCAGCCTGGCCAGCCCTTGGCCCTGCGGAGGCAGCACAGCCCAGGGAGCCCAGGCGACCCAGGACCTGCAAGTGAGTCATTCCCTCCTGGCACAGCCCAATCCGCTTGCCACCCACTTGGTGACCCAAAATTATGGTAAATAAATACTTCTGGTTACTCAATAGCTTCTGAAATTTAAATCTCTGGAGAAATTTAAAGCAACAAAACCCTAGGTGAGCCTGTCCACCATCCCCGTCCAATAAAACCGAGCTGGTCACAAGAGAAGTTCTCAAGAACATGGCCCTCTGCCCGGTCCTGCAGGCTCCGAGTCACCATGAGAGTTATGATCACTGGGCTTTCCTACACACACGTGTGCGCACACCAAATCCAAGCCCCTCACACCCAAGGGAAGGATGGGAGCTGCAGCCCGCCTTGTACTGACAGTTTCACACCAGTGGCTCCACATGGCCAAGGCCCACCTATGTCAATGCTGCTCCTTTCCTGCCAAGAGCCTCCCAGCGGCCATGCCCCAGACCCCTCCCTTCCTCCCCCACTTCCCAGTACTGCACTCCATCAATCTCCCTCTTCCCTCAGGACTGGAGCCCTTACATGCTTCTCTCTCCTACCTCCTGTGTGGCTGTCAGGACAAGCTTCTGTAACTGCATCGTTGCTGAGAAATATGGAAGATGTGCCCATGGCACATCTCTATTGAGAACAAGGAGGGACAGCTGTTCTCAACTGAACTTGGCCAGGAGAATCGGCACCATGAACATCCAGCACCTTTGGAGTCTCTGGGAAGTGGGTCTCACCATGCTCCCCGAACTCCACTCAACATAAATCTGGTTCTAGGCGCCAGCCCCGTGGCTTAGCAGTTAAGTGCGCGTGCTCCGCTGCTGGCGGCCCAGGTTCCGATCCCGGGCGCGCACCAACACACTGCTTCTCCGGCCATGCTGAGGCCGCGTCCCACATACAGCAACTAGAAGGATGTGCAGCTATGACATACAA